TTAAATGAGGAACTTGTGTAAAAACAAAGATTTCCTACAACCTCGAGAAATAATTTCTTATTTAAAAAATCATCTATTTCACTCCTCAGCTAAGTACTTCAGGAATTGGGGCGGGTGAGGAGAAAGGTCTTGGCAATGGCAGTTTGATGAGAAATGAAGTAATTTGATTATTTCCAGGGTGTGGATCAATAATAGTCAGCCTCTGCAGAGACCCCTGGCCTGAAGGCAGCGGGGATAATCAATAGGATCACACAGAGGCGCTCTCCTCCCCCAGCAGCCTCTCTGATCTTTTCTGGGCGGACTCTTCACGCCTGTGTAATTCTAATTTATGTCAACTAGAAATCAAAGAAATTCCAAGGGGCTTTGGTCATAGGACTTTGGGGTGGACCTTTCAAAATCTATTTATGTCTTTTCCTTAAGTAACATGGCTCCGTGGCCCTCCTGGAGCCTCTGCCGGCCAGGGAGGGGCAGCTACCTGCTCCGGAGGAAGGCAGAGGAGGGGAGTTAGGTAAACGGAGGTGTACTTTCTTGGTCCCGTCTACAACACTGCGGGGACCTAAGAACTAATAAGCATTTTAAGCAAAATGCTTTGCCAACAGTGGCTCCCTCAATAACGCTCTTTAATGATACCCCAGACGCTGGCATTTTCAAATCAAATGAACAGTGTATAAAATTAGTTCTGCATGAAGTTAAAAAAAAAAAGTAAGTGAAAGGGAGCTTTTAAAAGCTTCAGCATTTCTCCATCCAACTGCTTTTCACAAGGGTTTGGCATATTGCTACATTTATGATGTTATTCGCTGCTCATAACTCAGGCCCTCTGTCTCCAAACTTCTGTATTAACACATACTGCGGAGGTTTCCACCAAGACATTTTATCACTGAGGTTTCCCAAACCAGCCAGGCCGCCTCTGGCGAGGTCTGGTTTCTCAGCCGATGCCATGCCACTGGGCTCCCTCCCTTTTCATCAACCCTGTTACCCCAAATATTTTTCATTAACCTTGAACACTGCATTTCCATTTGCCCTACAGCTTTTCCATTAATTTTTTTTTCTTTTTTTTTGCCTTGTTCAGTTTTGTTCTCCATCCAAATGGCCTTGTAAGAAATGGAGAAAATATCACATTAGAAGAAATACATCTATACAGAATCTAGAATTCACTAAAGTTGTGAAAATGATTTCCACGACCAAAGCCACTATTTATAATTGCGGAAAGCAGAGTAAACATATTGCTCTTATTAGAGAGTCCCCTTGATTGTACAAGTAGTTTTAACTAAATCACCAAGTAAATGCGTGTTAAGTTGATAGGTGATTTCGGGTCAACTCTAATTCCCAAGGTCAAGTAAGCCTTTGAACAGTCTTTAAGAATATAAGTTCACCCCAATTCATCAAAGCCGTCTCACACAGCGTTTTCTTCTCTTGGTTCTTACAATGCACTAAAGTTTAGGAGATTAAGCGGCTTCAGCTTCAAAACCCAAAGTAATGCCTCTAACATGCTTATCCATCCAGCAATCAGAAAAGCTACTCGAACAGGGGCTTCTTAATGCACTTCCTAATTTTACAAGTGCGCAGGGGAATGCTGCATCTGTCAAATGGCTGGAGGACTCCTCCCTAGGAGTCACCAGTGTTACAGCCAAACAAATTTACTGCAGTTCCACTTAGACACTGTCTGATAATCTAAGTACATGTTGCTTTCATCTGCAAAGAATACATTTAATGTTTCTCATCTGTTCTTTGTTTACCGAATGAGAGAAAGAGATGGAGGAAAAATACTTTTTCTCACGAAAAATACAATGCATTTAGTTATTGTTACAATTCCTTAAAAGCTCAAGTGAGGAAAAAATCATAAGTTTGGTAAGGTATAGTTTTCAAATGAACTATAAGTGGCCCCAAATGAAACTGACCACACGTGAAAGAAAACATAACTAGACTTCAATATTTCTCAGAACCATAGGATCACAGAACGCAGGCCCTGGGACACACAGATGTCACAAACCCCATCTCTCCCCAGTGCAAGAATCTCACTGACAAGGGGTTAATGGCAGATCATTAAGATTATCTTGCCTACTTCTTTGGCTCCAGTTGGTGTGCAAGTTGGTGTGCACAAAGGGGAAAGAGAACTCAATGAGTTATAAGAGGTTAGCAGACTTGGTTAAGGTACAGGGAGAAGAACGCGAGGCCCAAATTAATTTTGTTCTTTAATTCTTTGTTGGCATAGATGAGCACATTGAGATAGATAGTGAATCTTTGTCTCCACATTCTAATCATAATTCCTGCCTATTTCTATTCTTATTTTTCTTATTACTTTCTTTTTGTTTCCCTACCTATTTAAATGGTCTTATCTCCAACTCACCCTTTTCTCCCATTACAAATCTTTCTTTATCCCTATGCCTGGGTTAGTAAATCAATCCAAAATACAGCATGTCCCACGCAGGCATAAGTTTTCCTTTGTAAAGAGTGTAGAAAATATAATTACTGGAATCTTTATACAGAAAATAATATTAATTTTAAATTTAAGTGAGCAAAAAGTAAAAGGGCAAAATCTCTGAATTTTTTCCTCTTTTTAATTTCCTTTAAAAATGAGTAGCAAGCAATACATTTTTTGTCTTATTTGGAAATTCAAATATACAATCACAGGCTTATATGATATCGATGATAATAATAATCAGTAACACTGAGCATTTTATATGACTAACATTATTCTAAAGGCTTGGTATGCGTTCACTCATTTAAATGCTCACAACGATTCTACTATAGATATGTACTATATAATCCTCATTTTACAAATGAGGAAACAGAGGCACTGAGGAGTTAAGTAACTGCCTATGATGACACAACTAAGTACAGAGGCCAGATTTAAACCCAAATTCTGGCTCCAAAGTCCATGCCTTCGACCACTGACCTCTTTTCTTTGCTACCTAAATCTTCCTTGGAATCTTGATAAAATTTTTAAACCTAGAGATGGATAGAATACAAATTTTGAAAGCTGAATAGCTACTTACTCTAGATTTCCATCCAACTAAACTAACCAGCAGGTTTTTTATATGCAAGCCTTTACCTGCAGTTTGTGTGTGATTTGGAAACTCCTTCCATCCTTACAGAACCTCTCGTGCTTGGCTCAGAGCTGCCTTAAGCCTGAGGGTGCCAGGCAGCAACACTGGGCCCAGGATCCCCTAGTCTGGGTTGCAAGCTATGGTCAGACGCATGGTGCTAGAGCCATCCAGTCTCAGAGTAGCTCTCAGGTTGGAGAAAGGAATCAGAGGCCACCTGAGAGAAAGGGCTAAAACTTTCAGGGATACCACCGAACAGAACAGCCTCCCCATCTCATTTGGAACTAACGTGTATTTGGGTAGAAAAGGATCCATTTCTTGAATTAGCAAATTGATGGTCAGCAATAAGTCTGGAATAATCTCCTGTACAAGGTGGAATATACATTTTTACAATTCATCTTTTTAGGTGGAGTTGATCTCAACAAATCTAAAGAGTATAGACTAGAAATATGGTGATTACTGAGAATGATGGTAGATACATCCATCCATTCTGACGCATACCTTTTTGGTGTCCTTGGTAAGGTAGTACTTGAAGGAGCAGTTCCTTCTGGCAGACGCTGAGGAGCGTTGCTGTCATCATTAAATATTTCTAAAAAACTCTGCGTACTATGGACCTTTGAACATGTTTTAAAAGAATTTCATTTTAAAAGGTTAGCGGTAGTGTTAGGTTAGTAGGTAGTGAAGTCTGAGGGAGACTTGCAACCCTGGGTCTCAGTGCTGTTGTTCAGTAACAAAGTCAGTCAGCTTTCTAGGCTGGGCTGACAATATATAATACAATTTCTCTAATCATAACTTAACTGGCAAAGGCCTAAGCAGAAGGGGAGATTTTAAAGCACTTGGAGAAAAGAACTAGGTCAATTAACAAAAATGACAAAGCACACAAAGGATTTGGGCCACTCTTCTATTTGCCCCCAAATTTGCTGCATTTAGAAAATGCATGTCCTTCGAGAGGGCGTATATATTTAGTTTCACTCTCTTTTGCTAGAAATGTCCCTAATCACCATTTGCAAAAGTAGCACACATGTGTAAATTATTATCAGATGCCAGCATTTTCTGAGCAAGTGTCTGAGGTGGATACCCTCCAAGGAGGCAGTCCTTGTACCTAGCGATGCCCCGAGGGTGTATCATAGTACTGGACATAGACTCTGAAGACCTGGTGTAACATCTGTGACAAGTGGCCTTGGGCCAGTGCCTGGTCTTTCAGAGCCTCCATTTTCTCCCCTTCACAGTATAGATATTATTTTTTAGGTTTGTTATAGGCAAAACTTAGAAGTAACAAAGGGGAAAGCACTCCTCTAGTGCCTGGTGATCAATACAGGTTTTTGTCTTCTTTCTTCTCAGTTTTCAAAGGGCTCCGTATAAAATATGGTACAGTTTTCTAAACTCATGCCCATGTCTCTGGGCCAGCTCCACAGACTTTCAGTGGGACCCCTGGGACCGTATCTCACCGTGTGCTAAAAGTGGTATCTTAAGTGTGGGAAGAGCTAACTTCCCATGTAATATCCCCACACTGGCCCTTTCTTGCTCCCAAATGCCCAGAATACATAGATGTTGAGCAATGAAATCACACAGTTCAAACTACGAAAAACAAAACAATTTGGTACTGTTCTTTTCACCTTACTGTTGCAGGAAATTTGGAACCCAGAACAGAATTTTGCTGTTCGACCCTGCACACTGCGGCATGCCATACAAACATAAACTGTTCCATGGACTCATGGATAGAAGGCTGAAATCTAAGCTGACTGTGAGTGTGATTTCTTTTTCATTTTTAAACAGAGAAATGCAAAAATCATCTCAGGTTAGTTTTAAAAACTAGACATCTTACAATGTATAGCAGTAACAGTACACATATGTATGTGTATTCACGCCATACATAACAGGGAGAGAGAAAGAATACGATACCAAGCTATTAACTCCACTGATATGTAGAAAACAAATTCAAAAGGTAACTCTTACTTTATCGCATCTCATCAGCCCCAGATATCTCAGAGACTTGCTGCTCTGCGCAATCAACGTGGCTCCTTGATCTGTGATTTCTTTACACCAGCCAACATCCACGGTCTCTATTGTCATGCTATATCGCCCAATGGCTATCAGTGCTGCAAGGAGGGACAGAGAGAAAGCAAGCAAGCATAAATGTTAGCAGTGTAAGGAATCTCTACTTTATTAGGACGATTTCTCTCATTTCCTCACTAAATTTGTTCCCGAAATGTTGTGTGTAAATGAATGTTTATAAACTAAATTAAATTTGAAATGCTTTAGGAAAGCTTAGCCTATGACAAACCCTACTGCACAGTGAATAATCCCTCCATGATTTCACTTTCATTGGAACACAACCTTTTATCAGTTTTACTCATTGCAAGGTTACCTGTACTCTCGAATAATCATATCTGCAGAAGGAATAAATTAAAATAAATGACACATATAATGTTATGGAAATTTCAAGTAGTAACTAAACTTTACCCAAGATAATGTTAATAATTTTTTTTTAAAGAAAAACCCATGGAAACAACATTTTGAGGTGCATTGTACTGCATATGAATTTCTTTACCGATTGGCATAACTTTTTCAATCTGTTCATGATCTGCAAAATATAAGAGTATATAACATTTTTCACATTAGTCTTCTTGGTACTCTTAGGAATTAAGAGTATATTATACAGAGCAGTTGAATTTGATTGGTGCCATGCTAGAGTGCAGTAAAAGGAATGCATTTGTTATGGTGAATTCCTCGACCTATCAGAAGTCTTTCTTCTGTTAACATATAAAATGAAACTTGTCATCTGAAAACTATGACAGTATCTCTAGTCTTTTTGACTGTTTAGCATTGTACCACTACTAAAGTGCAGACACTTATCCCGTAATCTTTGATGTGCACTACTTATCACTGCTCCATAACTCATCACCCTGTCAGAGCAACCAGTCAGTGAATGTGGCTCTTTGCTATGGACTTCCGATTTGATAGACGTGCACAACTCTACATCTGAGGAACAAAAAAACAGATTTCAATAACTCCAGCCAGAATAAGTTAGGCGCATTGGATTGTAAATGAAACCCTGAAAACAATGCCACACATATTAAAAAGGAAGAAGAAACTGTTTGCTAATTATTTCCTCATTCTAAGATGTGATGAATTGCTTTCAGTGACATTAAAGACAGATATTTCTCAATTGACCAGATTGATATGAGCAGAGTGAATTATTCGTGTAATAAGTGTCAACTCAAAGTCTACGGCCATGCTATCCTGAACAAGCCCGATCCTGTCTGATCTCAGAAGCTAAGCAGGGTCGGGCCTGGTTAGTACTTGGATGGGAGACCACCTAGGAAGACCAGGTGCTGTAGGAGTAAAAAATGAAAAATAAGGGATTGTAAACTGAGGAGGTCCTTGCCATCTGTGAGGGCAACCAAGGGTTGCCTCGCCTAAAAAGAAAAAAAAAAGTGTTAACTCTTACAGCTCACAGAAAAGTACACTTGTCAAAATCTCTTTGCTAATTACCTCAGTGATCTTTTATTTACTAGAAAACTTGTGCCCATTCATTCAAGTATCAAAGCTGGATATTTAAAGCTCATAAAAACAATAATTATGATTCCAATGTTTTCCAGTGAAAATGCTATAAAGGAAAAAAAAAATTCCTGGAACTTCCTGCCACCAATCTGCAGATGTTCTCAACTTTGCACATGTTATTTTGGCACTTAGTTTTCTAAGGACGTGGAGCAGTGCAAGGGTGTCTGCCAAAGGTTTGCTGAATGGTCTAGGTGATATTTTTGTGTAGAAGAAGCAATATCCTAGGTTAATCCCATTGGTGTCCCTGACCTAAGAAAATTGTTTTTATCTCTGGTATTGTCATAACTTTCATTGGTTACGATGTCCTGAGGATCTCCTATGATAAATGAAGTAGAAGATATATAAAAGAAATGCCTTTCAATACAAAGTGCTCAGGCTATGATTTCAAAAGATGACAAAGCACAAGTTGTAGGATGGCCCCAGGTCAGTAGATTGTATATTTTATTGAGGTCTGAGGCTAGAACATGAAAGTCCTGCACTAGTCAGAAAAAGGTAAATCAAATGACGAGTTTTCAGAAGCTGCTTTACAAGCAAATGAAGAGCCAATAGCTATGGATTCTAGGTATTAAAAACCACTGATGTTTGCTATTTTTTCTTTCTTATCTACATTAAAATAAACAGTAAATAAGATAACTGAAGATTAATCAGGGTATTCAGGTTTTGTTTTGACATAGTTCTATTTACTGAAGTAATAAGAATTAAACTTTATTATTGTTTAACTCATTCATTTATTCATAAAACACTTCACGAGCACTCACGCTCCAATACTTATTGATCATCCATGTGCTAGGCACTGGGCTAAGAATTTTAGGTGCATTATCTCATTTAATCATCACAGAAACCTTATGAAGTCTTATTGTTGTCTCCATTTTAAAGATCAGGAAACCGAATTGCAGAAAGATTGAATGACTTTCCTAGCATAACAAGATAGTAAGCAGGGGAGTGGATAATAAATTGAGAGCTGGTTCTCAGCCCTGGATGCACATCAGATCTACTAAAACGGAATCGTGGGGCCAGGCACCTGGCAATTCTAATACGCTGCACTACCTGTGAGTGGAACTGTGGGGTTACACACGGGGCCTGTGTTGAGTACGAGGGATAGATCCACAGAGCTCAGAGGCCAGTTGACTGGGTGTGGGGGTGCGAGGGTCAGGTGGAAATGGGAAATAACAAGCAAGAGTCACAATACAATGCTCATCCCACATGTTTTCCCATTCTTAACTGCTCGCTTTTTAGATCTCATGTCGAAGGTCATCTCAGAACCGATCATCCTATCATTTACTGCTGTTGAAAATGTTATTATTTGTTTATTTTTTTGTGGCCCACCTCCCCCATTAGAATGACGGCTCCTGTCCACTGCTGTATGCCCAGCATCTAGCATGTGTGTAGTATAGAGTTTGTTCTTACAAATATTAGTTGAACACACCAATAACTACACGTTTAGGTCTATTACAAAGGCATGTCAAGGCGGCATGGGATCCCTTCACTCATCTGCGGAGGAGAGATATAATGGAAACCCTCATGGAAGAGCTAAGCTAGGTCTTGAGGGATGAGTAAGGATTCTCTAGAAAAACAAAGGAGGGAAGGCAAGTATGTCCGACTAAGGAAAAGCATGTGTGAGAGTAGCGATGTGAAAGCACAGGGGAGCTGCAGGTCATTGAAATAAAAACAAGTACAAGGAAGTGGCAATATTTATTCCAGAAATATTTATTTAATGATTAGTAGCACTGATCACTGTAAGAATAATATTTGGATGGGTGAGGGCACCAGGGAGTCTTTCTGATGAATTTTTAATTCCTCCAATAGCCTGCAAGAACAATACCCATTTTAGAGATAAGAAAACTGAGGTTAGATATCTCATCAAGACCCCATCCCTAATAAGTGGCAGAATCAGGGTGCAAACTGAGGTAGTCTGGTTGGTTCCAAAGCCAGGGCTCATTCTATCAATAGCAGCAGCACCAAGGGTAGCAGAGGAGCTTGTATGTGTTCAGGATGTATTTCCCTTTAACACAATCAGGAATGAAACATTACAGCTTATGGACAGCCAAGTATTTACCCTGTGACTATAAAATAGGGGTCCAATAGAATCTTTAAATTCCAAAATATATACTAAGTAACTTATCTCTCTGTGACTATAGCCTACCTTTGGGTATTTTTTCATTGTTGTTCATGAGCTACCTGTGAAATCTGTAGTATGGTATAGTCTCAAATTCATTTCCCACCTCACAATATAGTAGATGTGTGACCTCAGGATGACATTGAGCGTTTTTGAGTCTTGGCTTCATTGCCTGGATAATGGGGATATTGACTCTATGTCCTGCCTACTTCACAGTGTTGGTCTGAGGCTCAAATGAGATAATACATGTAAGGGACTTTGCACTAAACAAATGTCATCATTTATTTGGTATTTCCTCAAAGGGTTCTACAGTGGTGCAGTTGATATAAAATAAAAAAAGAAACTTGAAAGGATTTTAAAAAATAAAAGGCTCTAGGCAAATGAGAGCATTAAATAAGTACTTAGTCATTATGCCACTGCTAGAGTTCTTAAACTGTCTACTCTCCATCGGTGATCATGAACCTATAGACTGCACCTGCAATGATTGGGCTGCAAATGTATGTATGATTACTACCTTCATCAGGGGCTGTTGACATGTTACAATGATATTTATTGAGCCTTGAAAAGGGACAAATTATGCAAGACTAATTCCTAACCCCTGTGCAATTTTAATATACTTTTTAATGTGCTAAGTGCAACTAATAAAGTTGAGTTTTAAGAAGTGACACAAATTAAAAGCTGAAATTCAGTCACTTATATGATGATCAAGGATCTACATTAATCCACTAAAAGGCATTTCCATAAGCATACAGAGTGACTGAAATACACAAGCACTTAATTCTGTACTCATTTTTTTATTATTATTTATGCCTACGGCACCTGGTTTTCCTAGGTGGCCTCCCATCCAAGTACTAATCAGGCCCGACCCTGCTTAGCTTCCGAGATCAGACCGGATCGGGCTTATTCAGGGTGGCATGGCCATAGACCATGGACCGTGGCTCTACTGGGGCGCAAACCCAGGACCTTCTGCGTGTAAAGCAGATGTGCTAACCGCTACACTATAGAACCATGTCCTGAAATTCCATTTCTATGTACTTAATTCTGACTAACAAATACAATTTCTAGGAATCTACCTTGAAAATATACTACTAATTACACAAAATTACATACATACGAGTTTATTCATCGGAGCATTGATTGTAATTGCAAAATAATGGAAACAGCCTTAATGCCCATACATAGGAGAATAGTTAAATAAACTATGCTACGCTCTCACTATGCTATGCAGCTAAAAAAAAAAAAAGGGGGGGGGAAGATCACAAGGAACTTCTAAATCATTCAGTGAAGAAAGCAAACTGCAAAAGAGGTTATATAATATGCTACCACCAAATAAAAGAGAATACAATAAAAAACATGAATCTGTTTATTTGTAAAAAAGAAATATAAGAAAGATAAATTAGAAGCTACAGAGAATAACTA